GACGAACGATGCAGCAGAGTTTACAAGAAGCTGTCATGCTTCCTGTTTTTTGGCTCGAAGTGCAAAACAGTTGGAACACGGTATACGTGTTCAATATTTTGTGAGGGAAGCTCGAGCACTTTTGCTGCCGAATCTCGCACGCCAGCCGGTGAGAGAGCGCGCCAGGCGTGGTCTTTGTAAAAAGAATATACTGGCTCAACTAATTTCTATTAAGGGCTCGGGGAGCTTTGCTACATATATACTACAATAGTGGGTCTAAACATCATAAAGGACACATGTTAATACTGATTACTAGAATTAGCCCTGTATTTCAACAGTCTTTGCCGAGTTGAAGAAACAAAAAATCGTCTTGGGCGGCAATTGTGGTAGCCTTTGCTTGAGATTTCGCTGATACAGAGGGTTTGTTGTGGACTCGAACGTCTTTCATTGGTGCCGCGGGCGTCTTGAGTCCAGTATGGTTAACTGTCGCCCAGGTAGGTTTGACCTGAGTCCCCTTGGCCTGGCTCGCTTTTTGTAGCAGCTCTGGCTACTTTTCAATCGTTTGTTCCACAATCTTCCCGCCGTGATTCTGGCAGTTTGGTCGTGGAGGGAGGTTGAGAAGGCCTGTTCCTGGTCCCGACATCATGAATTGAAGTATTGCAGCTCGGAGGTAGACTTTCATGGAGTCTATAAATTGAACGCTCGACCCTTTGGATAGAGGTGAGAGCGCATTCTCCACACCATTGATAGCAGCGGTGCATATTGTGAGATTAGTTGCGGTCTGGGCCGCTCGCTGTTCTTCGACTTCAAGTATGGCTCGAAGCTTGGGGGGACAAGTCGCAGTTTTCTTGGGGCTACTATTGCTGCAAGAAGTTTGATTGTTACCAATTTCCCTCAGAATGGTATTCTGAGGTGTTGTGGTGGGCGCAACTTCGTCGGCTTTTTTTAAGTTAGCATTAGCTGTCCACTTTATGGCCGGCACAGTAATCTTCCTTGTGTTTATATTGACGGGGGCCTCTGAGGCCTGACCATCTTCGGGCTCCTGTATATTCCACCGCGAGCTCTCAAGACCCTCTTTGATATTTTGGCTGATGGCTGCATCACCCATCTCAACATCTGGGTTTGTGGAGTTCAAGTCTTATTCGAAGGCTCTTATCCTCTCGGCCATGTCCAATTCCATCTTTTGCCTGTCTATCGAGCTCAATGGTATTCTTTTGGGTTCCAAGTGCTTCTTCAGCTTGGTATTCATTCTGTCCATAATTCTTTTATTGCAAATAAATCGCAATGATTTGGCAGGCCCCGGAGAAATGTTGGAGATCTGAGGTCTTGCTGCTATGACAAGTCGAATTAGTATAAATGTATGCAAATCAAAGGGTAAGGGTGATGATTTTAGGGTATCTCATCGATTTTCTCCTTGTTATTCAGGAATGGTGGTACCGGTCATGTGTCATAGCTAGATAGCTAAATACACTATGAATAAAAAAATAAAAAAAGTGTAGGTGCTTGAACATGAAACACCTACACGTGACATGAATGCCAATCTAGTCTTGGCATTACTCAGCAAACACCCACACCCCATGCATATTGAGCTTGCTTTAGTTACTCCTATTTGTTAGATGATTGGGACTTTGATGTTTCCCCAAAGAGAAGGGAAAGAGGAAAATGATTGATTGTCCTATCTTCCATGATCTCACTTCTGTTTAAATACATGTTCGCTTATCTTCCTTCAGTCAGTTGCCATTGTCCAGACCACGTAATCTCATCATCTAGTCTTACAAACAGACTGTGTTATCTAATATTAAACATAAGATAAAAACAGGATGAGCGCTTAATATGGTAAACAGGTATAAGTAGGTGCAACTAATTATAGTATAAAATACCAGAATTATGTAACGAACGGTTGATTGCGCGTGTTTCCATCTCAGCCTTATTCAGCCTCATAAACAGGTCTTTTAATTTGATACTATTTCTCCTTCCACAGCCAATCTATCTCACATTCCCAAGACTGCCTCTAGTTTTTCAGATACCCTTAGTTCCCTTCCGCCAAACCATTATTTTCTCTCAGTGAGCTCAAGTAGCTCATTAGTTATCTCCCTTATGTGACAGCTTCACCATCACTTGTTCGAATGGAAGTTGTATAGAGAAGCGTAAGCTATTAGGCTTGTATTTAATATCATTTAGTGAAGCGAGTTGGGAGATTGAAGAGTCTGAAAACTGTAGTGGAGAGTTGTTGATTAAACTCACTTAGTATCAGAGCGCTATTTAAACTAATTACTACATCTAAGTGAAGGACACAATTCACTTGTTTATGCTAAATAATTCGGTGGCTGGTCAATGTATGAGTCGTCATGAATGTGGCTAGTAATAATAGAACCTTATTACGTTCCGTATTAATGCGCCTCTTCATTGCCAAGTAGTGCCAATTTCAACATCACTCATCAACAAGGGTGCCTCAGGTACCTATTGGCAACAGGTATCTATGAGGATCCTGAATTCCCAGTTTGAGCAAAAGGCCAAGTCTCACAGCAAGCGAGCCGCCGAGCTTAAGGTTCCATCGAGAATGCACCCCTCGTATTCTTTGGTCACAACCCGGGCGGCTTAGCACCTCACTCCTCCCCTACTGTATTCTGATAGTTTAATTGTCATATATCTGTGATTGTTATATTATCTGGAGTATAGAGAGGATTTCAAGTATTTGAGGAGGAGGTAGAACGTTAATAGAAAGACAAGTTTACACCTAGTCTCAAGCTCTACACTCAATTAGTTTGTCGTCGTAGGAGCCACGAGACATGCGTGAATTTCACGGTCAACATTTATCATTTTATTCTTACTAATGTATACAAAAAACATCATGCGTCCCTTACTAAGGGCCGTGGCACTGTGCACGGACTCCAGGTGCGTAAACATTGTATTTATTGGCTTTCTTCCACATTGTTGAATTATAAGATTGTTGGTCAAACATAATCATTCCTGTGCCTGAACATAATGGAGTTATGGTTGTATTTATTACTTACTTAGGGGTATAGAGGGTAAGGCGTTTGGAGATCTTAGATACCCTGCATTAGTAGTTCCGTATTAGCGCATAGACGAGGCTGGCAGACACATATTAATAGGAGTATGATTGCAGCATTGAAGGATGCTGCAATTGCGAGAATCATACACAATAGATTAACTCAATACTTTATCAATTCTACTTCCAGTAGTTACGTACCACTCGTATACAAGAATCTTATTCTAATACACATTACTTTTATAGACTGTACAACCTCGTCGTAATTTAGTTGAATTGCATGTTCTAAGCTTTACTGCATTATACCTGAAGACTAGTCTAAATTCTATTGTATGCCACTTTCGACCAGCCGAGACACCTATATATTCCTCTTCTCTATTACTACTCACTCCTACTCAACCGCCGCTACAATTTGACACTACTTCTTTCTGGGCAGTCTTCGGGGCTTCACAGGGATTTTGAGCGAAACGAAGAATGGCATTGTTATTGGTGTATCCAAATCTAGAGCTGGGGGTGCCATTCTCGAGTAGAATTGCCGCGTATAAGATGAATGCAAGCGGAGAGAGTGGTGATTCTTGGGGAACACCGCACTCAACAAGCTTCTCATGTCTTTGCAAAATTCTTCGCTGGTTCAGAAATGATTCTACTCAGCGACAGGGCGATAGAGGCCAGCCCTGACTTTGCATTCCTGCGAGCAGCCGATGGTGTGGTACTGCATCAAAGGCACCTCGAGTTTCAAGCGTAACTATAGCTGTAACTTTATCAGATCTCATCGTAGCTTCAACATTGTGTATAGCATATGATGCCACGTCAACTGCTGAGCATCCTGAGAGTGCGCTCAACAATTGTGGAGGTGCTGCTTTGTACCTTGACGCGAGCTGGGACATCTTTTTCGCCATTAGACGTTCCAATCCCTTGCCTCAGCTGGAAAGTAGCGATATGGGACGCCATCCTTTGGCCTTGAATAGTCGCGTCCAATTTTTGGAAGCAGGAGCTCTCATATAACACTCAGATCATCATGAAACCTCAAGGACGAGGCGCTGGAAGGAGGCCAAAAGTGAGATAGGAGAATATGATACGTAAACACCTATGGAAACTGTATGATTGGCAGGGATAATAATTATGTATACAATAGCTGTTATTATCCTCTTCAATCTGTAGGGCATCGTAGTTTGAAAATAAACCGTCCCTGATCATAATGTTGCTCAAGTGTATATTCTTAGACTGCGACATCCGCAATCTGTGTTGTCTTCATCTCTCAACACATCCCCCAATCACCATTGTCATGAAGCTAACCATCATCAGATCAGATGGTAGGGTCGAAGCTCATATCATCACAAACCATTGATCATGGAGGAAAAGCCATCCGACGAGTTTCCGGAGCATGGCCAGCACCTGGTATGGCAATGGTGGATTGGATCAAGTTGAGTTCTGTTATTACAAAATTGGGAGACAAACACTGATGTGTGCGCCTCATTTGGCTCTGGTGTGTAGGGCTCGCCTGGCTATGGCTGCCGGGTTTTTGAGAAAATTTCATTTTTTGAGTAAAAGGTTTCGCGAATAGAAGAGATTAAATTCTACAGGAGAAGACGGGATAAACGAATTCCATCATAAGCATTATATCAAAAATTTCAATTCTTCACAAATGGAGATAGGAGCTTAGTACAAGATGTAAAGTCAGTGAGAAGCCCAATGCAGTAGGTATTCAAAAAGTAAAATAGCTCATGTAACAACGAACCAAAATACCACATTCTATTTGCTAGGGTTTGATCCGTTTCAAAACTAAGACTGCTATTCATTGGCGACTAATAACAGCAATGCCAAAAAATTCAACATAGCTGGTAGTAAAAGACGGGTAGAAGGTCGCTTTTAGATCAGCACCTTGAAGCGGTAAAGGAGAGTATTGTTATCAGGAAAAGTTCCAGAGGGAGTACTCATTTCTATTCCATCCGAAAAAAGCAATGGAAGAGTATCCGCACCGAATCTGGTTTGATACAAATCATTGAGATAGCTAATTCAATAACTGACTGGCATCAACTGTAGTACATTGTATCCAATTCGGTGGATCTGATCTATATACTCGGTAGATTTCTACATCGTCAACTTCTTGGATGATGAAATCATAAGAAGCTAACGGGAGAGAAGATTAGTTAGCAACAACTAAGTCCAAATGATCAAAATTCTTACGTTCGCCTGGTTCCATTGTGATGAAACGATATGTGGGGTATCTTCTACCACTTGGGCTCAGCGGATCACCTTTTTTTGCCTTATCCAGAGAAGCGTTCTCAGCATAGCTTTTAATTCTCCAAACAGAAAATATCTGGCCTTTATCACATTTATAATATCTTTCTTGAGCCACAATAGATGTTGGGATTAAAAGGGCAGCCAAGACGGCGGTGGAAGAAGCAAAAAGAAATCTCATGTTGAGGTTGCCTTTCTCACACGATGGAAATATTGACTCGAACAGCGAAGACGCCTAACGATTTGACCGAGGCACCGTTTTGTGAAAACGACAGGATGAAATTGATGATGTTGGTGAAAGAAGCTATAACATGAACAATTATGTAGGTGTCGGGAAGTACTGTTTAGTCCCCGCGTTGGTTGAAAAGTCCCCACACCATTGGTGATTGAGCTACGGATATCATTAGGCTGGCTTCTACTAGGGTATATGAGTCAATGATAATCTAGTACGTTGGTCTATTCTCTGATCTATCCCACCAGCGCTGTGCGCGGGGCTAGGAATATTTCGAAAGGTTATTGAATTGCTTCTCCTTCATGACTACAAAGAGTGAGTGGATAATAGGTAGGGCTTTGGTCCTGTCATCTAATCTGATGGTGGTTGTCTTCTAGAAAACAATGCTGACGGCTTGTGGTGGGAGATAGAAACGATTCTCTTTGGCCCTAAGATTTGCAGAGCATCCTAAGCGTGTACACCGATACCGCTGCAAGGTTTCGAAGCTGAGTTTGCCGGACCCTAACTCGAGTATTTGATTAAATGAATGTAGGCAAACGCTTCATGACTCGTGAGTCTTCATTTCAATTTGCCCAGAGAATTGTAGATATTTTCCTTCCTCACCAACGGTTATGTCGATAATTTTCAGGGATGCTGGTGCGAAATCCCGGCGACACTTTAAACTTGGACTAAGATGTTGGTGAAGCTTTATCATTTGGCAGACACGACATTCAAGGGTCTTGATGCTTGTTTAAAATGAGTCTTCAGCATCCAGGACTAATTCATTAGTAAACTTCAGCAAACGAAGGAGCAAAGGCCTGCTTGAAAGGCTTTGAGGTTAATCTTACTAACAGAGAGTAATTTAATTCCGCCAAGAAATTAACTCCATCATTCATTTGAACTGTATTCTATGTGAGACGACCATTGTCAATCTCTGTCCTTCACCTTTACACAAGCGCTACACACTGAACCATGCACACCACGTGTAATCTACTACCGCTATTCCCTCAAAGTCAAACAGCTGTCGTAGTTGGCGCAAGAGCCCATGCGACCACTGACCTCCGAGCCTTGAGGGTGTGAGTTTATTATGCTACTTGAGTCTATGACTAACACATTGGGCTCCTCTCTATCCCAGCTCACTCCTTGTTCAGTGCTCCTTGCCTCTTTTGTTCCTTCAAAAATCATTGATATATTGCCCGTGATGAATAGCCATTCAGCTCAGTAATTGCCCGTGGAATTCGGCCACTTTTTCCACGCAACCTTCTACCTAAAAAAAAAGAAGGTAGCAATGGAAACTGAGTGCGCGGAAAGAAGACTCAAAAAACCTGCAGCCCCGGCCACACCTCCCTTATTTATAACATTATTGGCCGACTTGATCTACTCCATTACCGTATCGGGTGCTTGGTAGGCTTCGGAGACTCATCGGATGGCTTTTCCTCCATGATCAAGAGTTGGTGATGAGTAGGGCTCCGACCCTATCATCTGATCTGATCGTGGTTAGCTTCATGATAGTGGTGATACGGGAGTGTGTTGAGAGATGAAGACGATACAGACGGCGAGAGCGACTGGGAATCCCCCTCGAACTGAGGACTTCGTTACTCAATCTCGGCTTTGCAGACTCCACAGTGAGAGCTAGAGTTTCGTCTGAGACATCACCGTCGAGCCTAAATTGCACTATTTATTGATAATAATTTGTCAGTTTTGATTTCATTTAACCCGATTTGGCGCCCTGTGGTCCCATGCAGGCAGCTATGAAGCTATCTACGTATTTACATGAGGGGGGGACCATTACGATAAAATCGCCTCCACACATTAAACTTGATACGTTTAGTCCTTCGTTACCTACATTAAGTACAATTCGTCATCAGTCCGGGAAGTGACTATCTGAAAATTATTCTGAATCAGGCCGGTACCTCTCCAGATCCAATTTCGCGTGCGATCGGGAGACTTTCACTCGTCCAGCAGATAATGTGCAAATTGAAAAGTACCGCATATTTATTGGTGGCACGCTGATAATTGCTTCATCTAATGTTACAGAGTGCAAAAGTTACTATATCTTCCACCGACTCATGCGTCTCAGAGCTCCGAGTTACCTCCCTCATCACCACGGCACACTGACGATCTTTTAGGTCGACTACACTAATATAGTCAATGTCAGTGCTTTTACCTCCGGTTCTCCTTTCTAGTACAGAATGTCAGCTCTAATTTACGGATGTGAAAGTGCAGTAATGCTTACGAGACGATATATTATTTAATTCTTGAAAACGGTAATTTGTAGAAGAGTTATCTGAATACATCACTATCCTTTTATCGTTCGGCTTCTGTAATAATTCATCGAATTTTTCATCAGTAACTTGGTATAATCCAGGGAAATATTGGCGCCATGGAGACACGGGATGTATTGTCTGAATCCCATACACCCTAAGTAGGTCGAGGTTGCAATCAAAGGCTTTTGCGTCCTCATCTATATGCCACGTGGTCTTGACAGCAAGAATTGTCACAAAGACACTGGCGCTTTGAATGATTGTGACTATGCTAGTAAGGCGCATGATTAATGATGGATTAGACTCGGTGAAAACTGTCGTACAATGAGAGTTCTTGTCTCACGACATGCTGACCGACGACCAGTCCAGATACTTAAATTTCTTGCTCTGCAGCATTTTTGCTGTACTGCTTTGCAATTAGTCCGGGCAAATATAAGATGGTGATGCGTATTTAACTTTTCATGACCCCACAACTCTTATTCCTTGGCTCAAGCCGAACTGTGTCTAAAATGAGTTCAAGTTCCCTTCATTCGCATCCATTCTCTTTCGTAGGACGAGTTGATCCAGATTAGATACTCTTGCTGATCCCACCACGCCTCGCACCCATGTCTCATCCTCTATTCTCTGTAATTCCCGACCTTCTTCTCGTTTCTAGTGCCGACACAATCCCAATGGCTCATTTGCTTAAATCACGAGTGATCCATTTCCGCGTCGCAAGGATAGCTTCAATGACTCGTCGTTGGTGGTCGCGATGCTTGTTCGCTGTGACGTCAAATTTCTGTTGAGCGTCGGCAGGAGTCGCTGATGAAGGCAATCGATTCAATTTCAAGAGGTACAAGTGCACAGTCTTTGTAAAGATTCGAGGTTGACAAGGAGAATCGCTTACAGATCGGATTCGAAACAAACCGTGACATGACAACAATCTGCCAATTTGCATTAACGTCGGCCGCATGATTCCGTGAAAGATCAATGCACGCAAGAAACACTTTCATTCTTCCATGGGATTGACGTCTACGACGAGCGAGGAAAAGGCTCAAGGCCTGTCCGCGCTGTGCCCCACGAGCCTGAGAGTGAAACATTCCGCCAGAGCCAAGTTCTGTTATGATATGAAATCACTCAGCCAGTTAGACAAGCTATATTAGATGATATAGAGATCTATTCAAGATGAGGTTGGTGTAGTGACATTGTATCTACTTGCGTGTGGATGACAAGAACAAGAATGTAAACTATTCTACAGCATATGATGAATATCTTACATCACAAGATGGAATATTCTACCAGCAATTATACAGATGAGCTTTAGATATACATAGGAGTATTCTCCTTCATATATTTAGGAATCATCGGGAAACGAGTCTAATAAAGCAAACATATGTCATCGTCTACTTCATAATAGTGTCAAGCCATCATATTGATAAACCCACGGTTTGTTTGCAATTCCCCCCTCATAGTCACAATAGGTTATGAGCCCGGAATCTTCCCTGCACTCTCGTGTGATGGATATTTTATTTCATTTTATTGTCCTGTCTGAGTCTATGACTATGTAGGACATGCAAGTACACTCTGTTGAAATGTGATATATTTTGGAATGCCAAGAATAACTTATAACGTTTATTTCACACTAGGATTCCAGCGGATGACTATGTCTTAAATGCAGGTTATAGTTTTCTCGTATCTATTACCAATACACATGTATTTAGCTTTATATTCCTGGCCCATATATGTGTATGTACATAGATCTACATCTACATGGATCATAACTTATGATCCATGGAGATTGTTAAATACTGGTCAAAAACCACAGTTGATAAGATATGCAAACACGCAATCTCACTCTTATCATCTCGGTTTTACTCTGAACCATACATCTAAATACAGTTGTTTCCACTCGGATCTTCCTCTCACAACCTCATGCAAGACTTACTGCATTGGTCTAACCGCCAACACTGATTCCGCTACAACCTCCATCATCGCTCAAGCTCATAACTTTAACACACTCTGCCTACAGGCCGAGGATATCAATTCCAGTAGCATATTCTCTCCTACGCCTCCCATCTAGCTCTCCTCAAACAGTACCAGCCCTCACAAGTCCTCGTTCGATCATGCACTTAGAGGAGCCCTTTGCCCTTCATTATCTCCCCTCTCCAGCCAACGAAAGGATGGCCACTTGCGGGTGTATGGAAGCAGGGAAAAATCGCAAAAACCACTTCGTGCGGAGCTATCCTAATACCGACTTGCGTGATGGGAAAAACCGCAGTAATCAATATGGCTCCTGGAACCAGCTTCTCAGACTTGGAATCCGACCTTCAAGCTGCTCTCATCAAGAAAGGTCGTTTGTAACATATCTTCCATAATCTCGAGGAAATAAGACCAGCAATCCGGCCTACGAAGCCAATGAATAAACAAGTTTAGTCCGATATAGAATTTAGTAAAGTTTTGGACAAACATTATGATGACCTAGCCAAGAGGAAAGAAGGCGTGATCGAAGCTAAGAATATACTGCTCAGGCGGCTGATTCTAGATTTTCGTCCTCAAAGCTTCCGCCTCATGTCAGCCAAGCAAGTTTTTGAAAATATCACCTCCACTCGAGAAGTGAATGCAGCATCTCTACACGAGACTGCCATTAGGAGTCTATGGAATATCCGCTTCACTACGATAGACGACTGTCGCGATAAGTTTATGCAATACTTTCTGAGTGTTAACAGTGTAGCTGAGTTTATGGTGCCAAATGACATGACAGAGTCAATAAGTCCATACTCGATCTCAAAAAGGTATGCAAGTTGTCCTTTCGTTCTCGGGACCGATAAAAGTAGAATTTCTGGAGACCTGGCAACAGACTTAAGTTCACAACAGCAAAAATCGGTACCTCTCGTTGAAAAAACTGATGTTGACATTGAGACAAGTTGGAGGGCCCAGATCACAATAATGCGGACAAGTAAATGCAGCCAATGGAGGGGAAAGGAGCGAGTATTAGAGGAGTAAAACTATTGGGGGACCAGAAGATGCATTTATTTTGTGCAAACATTGCCATCGGAACAAGGATTGCTACTGATAGCATCCAGAACTGAAACGCATCAAGAAAAAAACGGGAAAAGAGAAAGGAAAGTCAAGAGGAAGCGCTGCCGTCGAAGACAATGACGAGACTAACGATGAGGATGAAGGGGTCTCACTTAATATGCTAGCTAGAGGTGCATCAGCTAGCTTAATCAAAAATCCTCTTCTGTATGACACTGGTTATCACGGGTAGGTCTCGTTGGAACAGAGTCACAAGCAGATCGGAGATACGAGAGGACGAAGTACGTGTAGGAATATATTAATAAGACGTTGCACAATCTATCCTAGGGTGCAACTACTTAGATACTTAAACTTTATTCCTGCACTAGAATCAATCATACAACTAATCAAGACAATTGTGCGTCATGTGACTTATAGGTCAGATCATAAGCGAGAACCTTAGGTACCATGACACTGGTGCCTTGCACCACTTTATTTGCCGTGTAAAAAATTTTCTTAAACTAAATAAGTTACATAAACCTTTCCTAATTGATCAAGCTGTTGGGACGTCTAAATCAGCCCACAAAGTTATTAGTCGGAATACTATTGGAAGTACAACTCTTGATCTAGACGAGTCTCTCTCTTCCTCCAACTCAATGTGTACTATTATCTCTGCAGGACGGTTAAAAGAGCAGCATGATTGAGTTTATATCTCTTGCTTACCTCGATTTGGAAGCAAATATTATAAGCTCATAGACTCTAAGCCAGGAAATTTTGAACCAAGAGCAGAAAAAGGATGGTTTGTGGGATTCCCCAAGAATACCAGCAAAAATTATATGATTTATCATTGTCAGATTGGAGCGTAGGCAATGGAGCTGAAGGGGAATTGGAGGGCGAGAAGAGGTTGTATGGACTGCAAGAGATGACTAAAGGTCTACTGGAGATAACTTGGAGGAACTAAAGGTTTGAAACATGAGTAATATAAATAGATAAAAGGTCAAAAGGTTCGAGTGGGTACTTGTCACGGACCAAGGGCCTATTCTGAGCCAATAGGAACTATGTACGAAGATATCTGTGGCTTTCTGCTCATGTTCTATCCTAATCTGTTCAGTTCTGTTCTACCCTATCTTACTCTATTCCATTCCATTCTAATCTAATTTGTCCTGTTCTGATCTGTACTTGTCTAGACTGTTCTATTCTATGTGAGATTATATTGGAAAGTTCGAGATCGATAGAGAGGAATATATAATGGGTAATTGGGATGACTATGGTTCGGCAGATTATGGTCTTGTATTCTTAGGAACCTTTTGACAATATTGAATTTGTGTACATCTTGGCCTTCTGACATCTCCGAATATTGATTTATTGAACTCTCGACTCATTGAACTCTCGACACCTTGACAGTACTAATAGTGACTAAAGATACAAGAGGTGACCAGAGAGGCTCAGAGATAATCCAAAGGTGGTAGCTGTGACAGAAAACTAAGCGTGAAGAACTCCGTAGGTACAGACCAGGCTATCATACATATACTTGCTTTCCTCTCACTAGCTCATTAAAACATAGGCCCTAAACTAGTACCAACATAATAACAAGTGCCAAGAACTGTTCTGCTGTCATAGCAACATAGAAAGAATGGTGTCAGGGTTTCGAGGGACAAGTGCTGGGGCAACTATGTGGTCGATGGTAATAAATAATAATTCTAAGGAGATAACTTCCACTACATCTATCTATTCATTTATATACGTGAAAGCCTCCTCGCCACCAAGGCTAATCCCTCTCCTGTTCCTATGCTATGGGACTCCCCTAGTGTTCTGACTATGCCTGTAATACAGCACTATTGCGTTATGGTCCGGAAGGATTGTACTCGGTCTCGTATATTCCCAGTCAGTGTAAGCCTATCAACATGTGGTGCAGTGCCGTACTGCCGTGCCGCACTGTCGAGTCCGATGCCATGTGAATACCATGCAAATGCCGACGCAAAAGTATTGTATTGGGTGGCGTAGCATATTAGCGCATTGGTAGCCATTAATAACGCCACTCGAATCAGGCCTAAGTTAACCAACATAGACTACAGGGACCAATTGGCTTACCAGCTGTTACAAATGGTAAAATTATGAAATGAAGTAAAGATGAGAAGAGGAATCCTTACATTATCCCCCCTCTTTTCAATCTGCGAGCTCTGTCAAGCAAGCTGCGCTCGGGTAAAGACTGTGAAATTCTTGTAAGAGATCTCCGAGGCCTGTTAAGTTTTTGATTGGCTCCCAAGTAGTATCCTCGTATCTGTAAGGGC